AAGATGATCTTAGATGCCTTAAGAATGAGGAGCAAGGTAGAGATGATGAATCACCCCAGTGATGTGACCCAAACATGCACATTCAAGCCCTTTTGAACTGCAGAGAATCCACAAGTGAGAAACTTGTAATATCCCGCCAAAATGGCTAAGCCACAAGGCACCCATCTGTCTGATACCACGTTTCCCTGATAGTCCTGCTTTTTGGGAACAGTTTAGGGAAACAGGGTGGTAAAACATGAGGGAAGAGTGCTGGTTTCTTCCAGGTGGGGAAATGGGACTTTCAGTGAAAGACATCTGTACCCAGCAGTTTTAATTCAGATCATGGCAGGACCTCGGGGCAGGATCCTGGAGCACTGCAAGACATGGGCTCGGAGGAAGGCGAGAGCAGCTCTGAGAGTCACAGCATGGCAAGTGCTTACCATGTTTCACCAGCCAGTTTCACCCCACACCGGGTGAAGATGTTCCCCCACATAGTTTCAGGCTTCTACAACCTTCGGGGACGCCTCCAGCGAGACCCCTGCCTTACCTTCTCCGAGGCTCCAGGGCTCGGCAGGGTCCCCCTGAAATGACCAAAGGCACAGCTACACGCCTCACGGCTGAGCCCTCTGCCTACAACTTGGTATCTCCCTCTTCCCCCCAGTGAAGAGCTGATTTCACCGTCCCCATCTAAGAGGCGGAGAGGGGCGTGGTCAAGCTATTTGCCCGCCCCCTTAATCCATATTCATGACCGTGAGGCGGGAGGCGTAGGGAGGTGGTGCGCGGTAGCCCCGCCCCGCCGCGGGTCTACCGCGCGCCACCTTCCTACACCTCCCGCGCGCCCCGCCCCTCGCGGTGAATATTGATGAGGCGTGATGCGCGGCGTGGTGTCGTGTCGCGCGGCGCGCCCGGCGATTGGCCGTGTGCGTGTGTGCGCGGTGACGCGTGTCGCGGCGGTGCGGGTCCCGATTGCTGCAGCCGCTTGTCAGTGTGACGAAGATTGGCACCCAAGGTAAGCGCTGTCACTCAAACCCGCTCCCAGCCAGCCAGCCAGCCATCCATCACGGCGCGCCCGCCGCCGCCGCCACTACCGCCGCACGGGCCCAGCCGTACCACCACACCGGCGGGGAGCGGAGGGGGGGGGGAAGGTTGAGGAAGAGAAAGCGGAACAGTGGGAAGGGGGGGACCCGCACTCCGCAAGTCGCCCCAGAGGGGGGTTAGGGGCGGTGGCGGGGAAGGGGGGGGGGGGGGAGGAGGGGAAAGTGAGAGCGGGGGGAGGGAGGGAGCGAGGAAGATTCTGGAACGACCGCCGTGTAACCGTTGTCTCTGGCGGGGGCGCGCGCGGGTGCGCGCGGAGGGGCGGGGAGGGGAGAGGAGAGGAGAGGAGAAGGGGAGAGGCGCCGGGCGTGAGGGAGCGCGAGTCGGTGCTCGAGGACGCGGCGGTAGCCGCTGCCGCGGAGAGGGGGAAGGAAAGGGAGAAGGAAGAGGAGGAGAGAGAGGGGGCGACGGGAGGGGGGGGCGGCTACGTGACACTTAAAGGGGCAGCGCCGTGCTGGCAGGCGTGCCTGGGGGTGAGGGGGGGATGGGGTGGGGGTGTTCTCCGGGGTCCTCCTCACCGCTGCCTCCCTTCCCCGCCGTGTTAGGCCCCTGTCGATTCGACCCAAGACGGGGAGCCCTCTGCTGTGGCCGCGATCAGACCGTCGCGGCAGCTGCCTCCTCTCCGCACCTGCCCTCGGGGGGAGGACGGGGGCTGCAGGCGGCAGTTGGCCCCGAGCTGACGGGGGTAGGGCGGTCAGCACCCCCCCACCAGGCCCTGCCCCCGGCCTTGGTGCCGTTTCGGCGGCTGGGCGGTCCGGCGGAGCGCGGCGTAGCCCCCGGGAGAGCGGGTGCTGGCGCGATTTCGGCCGTACACCCCCCCTCCTCCGCCTCCCCTCTTGTTCCTAGGAAGCGTGTTCTGTCAGCGGCTGGCACTTGGGGCAGTGTGCGCGGTTCTGGCGTGAGGTGGTGGTGTCTTCCTCTTTTTAGTATTATTTTTATCATTTCTGATGTGACCTCATTGTCTCTTGGCTCAGTTGTAAGTGGAAGTGCTTGACACCTTAGACCGGGGCTTCGAGTGTTTACACAGCCGCAATTAGGAGCTGAAATTTGACATTGCCCAGAGGCCCTGCTTATGATGTGTATAAACAATAATGAATCAAGTGCTGGTTTTATCCTGAAATATTGCCTCAGTTAGCCACATGTCCTGGATCTCCGTGGAGTAGTCGATAGCTTTCCCTCATTCCCACAGCACCAGCTGCCGGGGCCCCGACTTCATCAGTTAGCAGTATGAGTAGTATACCCAGTATTACCCAGTAGCATCTGGGTAATAGGTCTCTTTCTAGCTTATCGCTATCTTTTAAAAATTATTTTTTTTTAAACACTTTGTGTTTTCCTAAGTGGGAACATTCCATGTAATTCTAGAGGCACAGACATGTTATTTATTTATTAATCTGCTGCTCTGGTTCTTGACCTCTTTTTGTCAGTTACATCTAAGTAAATGACTAGTGTGGTTGGTTTTTTTTTTGGCGGGGGGAGAGTGGCCTGATCTGAAATGATACCCTTATAAGTGAATTTTTATGCCATGCAATTATTTTCTTTTGGTCTCATGAAGCTAAGAGCTGTCCTGGCAAGATTCGTTTTTGTCCTTGCCCCTATTTGGAGTGTGATGTGTGCATTCCATTAAACAGATGACAGGAATAGGGAGCATGGACGCTATGTTCTGATCTGTGGATGCTGGGGAACACTTGAGCCTATGGAGGATAGTGCGAGGGTGTAGATCATTTTCAGCGTATGCTAAATGTCTCCTCTAATTGTTTTTCTTTTAACAAGCTAAATAATTCTTACTGTTTACAAAAAGCATTCACATACAGTTAGTGAATTGTTCCTAATTTTATTCTAGAGCATGCTCTGTGCAAAATTTCACCAGTACAGGTTGTTTGATTACAGCTCAAGAAATTTATGCACCTTGCTATTCTCTGTACTGTGAATACACTTGCAGATTACTCCTTTCCTCTATGGGATATAAACTGTTTATGGTCTGCCAGTGCTGTGGCAATATCCCTTTAGTTATATATGTGCAGCTAAAGCAACACAGCATCTGCAGCTGGGCAAGCACCGAAGTCTTGATTAAGAATGAGACCTGGTTAGTCCCTGTTAGCTGTCTTTACAAGTTTTATCGCTTACCCTGAACCAGGAAACTAATTGTTGTTGTATCAGAAATTCTTGTATGTATTTTCAGAATGTGTCATTGCTAGAGTAACAAGGAACATTTTGAGTGCACTATGAGTGCATTTTCTAAACAGCTTTGTAAAATAAAATTGACAGAATTATCCTTTCCCGAGTTTATGTATAGCCATATATAATTGTTACGTTTAAGTTTTCAAAAACTTGAGAGGAAAAAAACCCCAAAGCATTTCACACTCGATCAGTCTGAAGGAACAGTTCAACGCTTCTCAATATGTCATTACTTTTAATCTACCAAAATAAATAATTCTGATTCTATTTTTAATGTGTGTCATATTTTCAATTTATTTTATGACGTGTATAGTGCATTTTTACTGTTGACTGTTAAAGCTTTACGTATTTTCTTGTCATGATTAAAGTATCCACAGGAAAACCTAGTGTAGGTTTCACTGTGTGTTCTTAAGCTTCAGTTAAGCAGTGGAAGGTGTAGCTCCATTCACTTCACAGGGTAAAGAGGGGTAGTGTAGAGGCTGGTGCATTGCACTGAGACTTTGAAGCCTTGATCTCAGTGATTTTGGAGCATGGATTTTTTGATCTATGCCTGTGTATCCTTCTCTATGTACACTGAACTCTAATAACTGTCTTGTATCAGAAGTGGGTCTTATTATCAATTAAGTTAAAGTGCTTTGTTAGATTGGAATTGATCTTGTTACCATTTGCTAGGTTCTAATAGGAAAACTGAGGATTCTTCTGATTTTGTGTCTGTTGCTGTTAACGGTTGGTTTAGGTTATATTTTGTATTTGGAAATTTCTCTTTGGCATGTACAAACTCTAGTCTAATCTTAAGTGCCTTCCGGCCTTGATTTGTGCTCTTAATCTAGGTACGGTTTTGAAGATTCGGATTATCTTCTGAGTATAAAATAACATTTTTCAAGCTAAGTCCTTGCAGTCTTCTGTTAGTGCAACTGAAAGTTTAGAATGGATGAAATATACATGATTATTTTAAATGTTTCAGTCTTATAAAATGGATATGGCTTCTAGAAGCTGTACATTCTTTTTCAGAATTTTACTTTCTGTACTCTCAATGCAGTGCTGTAATGAAGTAATGATAATTCTGATTGCTACCGCAGCAAGTTTAGAGATGTTTAGAAGCAATCCAATTTCCTGGAAAAGATTTAACACTTGCTGTTATTAAGCCCTGTACTAACAGCCAGGGGTGAATGATCCACAGAAGCACTACTGTGATAGTGGAACTGCTTGTTCTAACGGCCCTGTTAATGTCCTGAAGGGAGAGAGATGTAGACCAAAATGTATTTCAGTATATTATGTAGTGGTCTGAGAGCCAAATGTTACCTCTGCAAAAATGGCACATAACGTGAAAGCTGACAGTAAATCAGATTAATATTTTTATTTTGGTGTAAGTAAGAATTATTTTTTTGGTGTGAAATGTAAAATTCCACAAATGTTACTTCTCGTTGCTTTGGTGTCACTTGTTGAAAGAGTTTGTAGGCTTATAAGTGAGAAGTATCGGGGGGGGGGGGGGGTGTCTTATTTTACCACAGCTCAGTGCTGTACAAAATGTAAAACAACTCACTGCTCTTCTAAGCAAGAGGATTCCAAGAGCAAGGAAAAAAGCTGCTGATAAGAGTCTTTCCTTCACTTAATTAGTGCCAGATGTTACCAGAGTATTTTACCCAGGCCATTATAGCTCTCCTGGCTCTCCCCAAGATAGCAGAATGTTGAAGTGTTCACATTTGTTAGGAGGTTCTTCACGTTGCTCAGTAAGATTGTCATGTCGTAACTGTGGGACACTGGTATAATCAAATGGAGCTGGGGGTGGGGTAGAAAGTGGAATAAGAACACTATGAATCTGGAGATACCAGTCTTTGTTGTTACGGAGTGCTGGCACGTTTTTATGGGATTGGTAAAAAGTAGTAACTTGGTTCCCCCACCAGCATCTTGGAGATACTAAACCATGTACGTTACTGAAGGACAAAAAGGATGTTGATGTTGGAAGTGGAAATAAAATTTGGGTTTGCTCGTTGTTACATGCTTGCTTATCGTCCTTCATATGAACATGCTTGTTTGTTTTCAATATAGCAGCTACTCCAGGCCATTATGTTCTCATTTTTTCTATACATAGATGCATAAGAGGTATTTGCTGTTAAACAGAAGGCCATCCAAGTACTTAGGCAGTCAAAAGGTGACTTGTGAAAATGGGAGCTAATGGACTGTGATAGCCTTGTATTGTCCTCTAAACATACCCCTGAGTCTGTAACTGTCATCTTATGCAGCTGACAGTAAATTCAGGCAAAAAAAAGTAGAGTAGTTTACTGCTGGTGCACTAAAGGAGGAATCCATTTTTCTTTCAAACCACCAAATTCCAATTTATATTTTATTTGTGAGCTTTAGGAGTTGTCTGTGTTTTTTCTTGAGGGCAGAGGAAGTTAGGAAAATGTGGTTATACTTCATATCCTGCTTAGCTTTTTTCAATTTACATAACAAACAAAGCAAAGGGAAAAGGATATTATAATACTACTGAAAAACAAAGACCAAGTCTTTTATGTTCAGAGGAAACAGAGGCAACTATAAAACAAATTGGAGCTTTATACATGTTCAACATGCCTGGAGAGTAGGGGAATGAAAATGTGCTATGTTGTATGTTTTTATAACTAAAGAGCATGAACTTCCAGGTCGGTCTGTGATCACTTCATTCATATGTGTTCTAGCCGATTTTTCTATGTCACAGGTCATGATAGTAGTGATGCCAGGAGTAAGGTTACCTGGTTGGTTTTTTTTATTATCATTTTGAGGTGGTGGTTTCAAGTAGCTTCTCAGTCATACTGAAATTTGCTGTGATGAATATGTTTGTAAACTTTAAGATAAAATGACTCAGCATTTTGAAAATTACTTCTAGAGAAAGTAAATAGTTTCTTTTAAGAGAAGGAAAATGCTTGTTTGCCTTATTTAAGAGCATATCAGGACCTGAGTCCTGGAAATCAGCATTGCAGAAGAGAGAGAGGGAAGAGAGTGTAAGCATTCACACGAAGCATATGGCTGTTCCTTGAGAAACTTCAGTTAATCACAAGCTCTTGAAAAGCTGGTTCATGTATGTTACTTGGCAAATATTTGTTAACTAAATTATCTGAATATTCCATGGAACACAAGTATCTTACTGTCTGTTGCTCCTTGGATGTCACCTGACTGTGCAGTCATCATCTGGACCAAGTAGTTAAGCATGATGCATCCCTCAGCAGTAGGTGATGGGTAAGTTTAATCCTAAATAGTCTTTATCTATACTTGTCCCCAACCACTTCAGGCTTAGTCAGCAGTCAGACTCCTGGAGGGATGAAGGCTGGTGTTCAGAGAGTGGTGGGGAACAGGGACTAGAGCCTGATAAAGCACAGTAGGCCTAGGAACCCGAAAAGGATGCTAGCAAAATTACAAGTGGGCAGAGTGGGTGGAAGGAACAAGAGAGGGCAAGAGGTGAGAAAGAGGTCAAGCTGTATCTTGATGCAGCAAGAACAGTGGGGAAGGGCAGTGTGAGGCCGAAGAGCAGAAAGAACATGAGCAAGGGAGTAAGAGAGGATGAAGAGTGTTGGCAGCAGGAGCAGAAGAGGCTAGAACATGGTATGTCTTCCTTGCAAAAATGAGCTGAACTGATTGCTTCCGGTTCATCTGCTACTAAAGAGTTGTGGACCAAGTGGAGTGGGAAAGGAAGAATTTTTGTTTAATTAGTGTTTTGGAAAGAAAGTAACAGTTCATTTTAGGGCCGAAACTTAGTAGCAGAACAGAGCTGTTAGTGTTTGTCCAGATATGAGGGTCGAAAGAGGGAAGATTCTGGAAAACTTACTGGCCTGTTGGAACTGGATTTGACAGAGGGTTGCCGGGCCAGGATTCTGTTCAGCTAATCCAAGTTAATGCTTGGCTCATTGACAGGCCTATTATTTCTGAAATCTGAAAGACCTAAAAATGAAATAGCTGATAATAGAACATCTTAATCTTGAAGTTCTTAAGTGCAAAAATGTGTGGAGGGGATTTTCTTATGCATTCAACATCTTAAATCCATTTTAAATGAAGTTACTAGTTAAATAAAACTACTTCATCCTTTAATTGTGCTTCAGCAGCATTAAGAATTGAGTCTTTAATAGAAAGAATCATTAGAAACTTACGGTTTTATAATAAAAATGTTAGAAAACTTATATATGCTTACATAAACTGCTTACTAACATTGTAATGTATTCAATAGCAATAAAGGCATAGTGAGATTGGTGGTTATTTTGTGTCTTTATGAAACCGCAAAGTATAAACACAAAACAAGATTAATTTCAGTCATAGTTTATTGGGTGCTGATCCAAATCATGACTAAAATAGGATTTCCCGTTGCTTTGGTTTAGTTTGCCTGGAAGGATATGATTAAATGAGTGTCTCCTGAAGTAGGAGATTCACTACACACTTGCATGGATATTCCAGTGGCTTTGATGGCAAAAGAACAGAATTGGTCTAGTACATAGGCAAACCTGATGTTTATCCATGTGGGGAATGCTGGGGAAACGTGAGGGTGGAGTTCTCTTTGTTGTTGTTTTTTAATGAAATTGTATTTGAAAAAGTAATTAAATGTCATTAAGTAGGAAGGTTGTACTAGAATCTGTTCCAGCTGTGGAATTGCTGATACACATCCTCTGGTATGTGAGGCGGTTTTGGTAGTCTTTCTAATGCAGTCCTCTTATTACGATAGTGGCAAGACAGGTACTATGCATCTTCTTCATTTTGGGTCTAAAATGTCACAATGGTAGCACACTGGGTAATACTAAGGGGAAAAGAAATGCTGCTGTGTCCTGTGGCAAGTAGGTATTTGTGGTGGGGATGCATGATACATGTGCTAGAATTCACAAGCAATAATTGTAAAAAGTTCTGCAATTTGCTGTGTTAAGAATACAAAAGAAAAAAACAAAAACAAAACCCACCAAAACTAAAGCAGTCTTCATTCACTCTCTGCTGGGAGATGGATGAGGGAGTGATGGGAAGTATTTTTGCTCTCTTGTACCTTAATCCCTCAGGAGTCTTGGAGCAATTAAAGAAGGGAGGTTGCCTTTCCCCCAGATTTTGTTTTCCTTTTACCAAAATTTCTGTTTAGTCTCCTTAATTCTGTACTCTTGCTTTATGGAGCTAATGAAGCAGGGTCAAATAACAGTGTGAAATGGGAAGGAGAAACTGAGATGCTGCAGGAGGTTTCTTAAATTTGAGAATTTTTTAGTAGTTGGAAGATTGAGGTTTTCATTTTGCAGAAGGTAGGAGAGCAACCTGAGGATTTCTGCAATGCCAAGAGCTACCTGGAGGCGGGATATGTAGCATACCGAGGTGACGCTATTTTATGCCTAGATTGGATAGGATTTTTCATCTTTCTCTTCCTTGTTAGGAAGAGCTATGGTAAATTTGGGGGTTACATGAACCATTATTACGCATGCTTCCCAAGAAATGTGCTGATATAAACATAGGGATGCATACAGAATTAGGGGGCAAAAGTACTTCAAAAGACCCAGATGCCCTTAATTCTGCTTTTGTTGTTGTGTTCAAGAGGCTTGTTATTCATCCTTAATATCCACTTAACCAGTTACTGCATGTGCAATATTAGCTTGTAAAGTGGCACATTTTTTTTATACTTTTTTTTCATATTTGGTACCTGCAAATAGAATTTCCAAAATTTCTTTAAAATACCAAAAGCAGAGTTTGCACAAAGAGTGAATTGCTAAAGGAATGCAAATCATCTCATGAGATGGTTGGTTGGTTGCCATGCAGTGTGATGTTGAGTGTTGATGCTTGGAAGATAGTCTGTGATATAAATACGTTGTATGGTTTGTTAAGTTCTGAAATGGGGTGATATGAAAAGAGGATGCTAGGAAAGATTAATGGGACAACAGAGTGGTAAATATAGTGTTGGAGAGGTCTTGCTGAATAAAGTCAGTGTAACAGTATAGATGTTCAAAATCCTACAGGCAAAGAAAGTTTAATGGTAAGTTGTATTTCTAAAGAAATTTTAGTGGTGGATGTTAATTTTTAATTTTCAGTTTCTTAAAGTATAATATGCATTCAGGTTTTTTAATGTAATCTGATAGTCATCCAAAATTATATATAAATAACTCTATTGCGCCACCAAACAACAAAGGGGGAAAATTGACACAAAGTAAACCTCATTTTAGTGCAGCCAAAAAATGTTCTTGTGGCTTTTTAGGGCTTGTCTCCTAGGGAACTTGACAGTGTAGCTATTGTGTAATAACTGTTCAGTGTGTAGTGCAGCTCCCTGAGGCTGGCATTATATTCCTGAACAGGAACATCATCTTTCTGAAAGCGTAATATTCTAAATGACTGTACTTTGTAAGTACATAAGTAGAGGAAATGGAAGCCACCTTACTGCTGAATGAGGAGTATATTCTCATTGAGCACAGTTTTAATAAACTTGTATGCATCAACTTCATACTGATTTGCTTGTCTTAATTTTACTGAGTGTCTCTTTGTAGATAGGTTGATGGAGATAAATAACCATTCTACCTTTGCAGCAAAGGTAGAATGAATCCCTGATGGGGTGTTGTCATATACTGTCTACATATTGCTTTGTTATTATTTGAATCTATAAAAATATATGTCTTGATCTTAATGTCTGCTAATATTTATCATACATATATGCACAGGTCTTTGTTTCTTACTAGCTGACATGCAAAATGAGAGAACAAAAAGAGGGTTCTTCAGTGCTTGAATGAACAAGGTCATATTTTACTTCATGGTAAAAACTTTAATGGTGACCCTTCTTTTAAGTGACAAAGCAAATTGCCCTTGTTTTTTATTTCATAGTTAAATGTCTTTTTTATTGTGATAACATGACTTTAAATCTTGTTTGCAAGAAGAATAAAAGGAAGAACCAACTTGGAAATAGCAGTTCCAAGCTTAGGCTTGATAGTGAATTGATGTTGTCTCCATCCTTTATTTAGCAGGTTTGCCTGTTGCCTGTCTTGCCCCACTGAGACTTGTAAGCTCAGATCTCTCTGTTTTCTTGTCTGACATGTTTTAGGGTAGATTCTTGTCTTAATTGCTGCCAGATATCTCTTGGAAGAAGGCAATATTACTGCAATGTCCAGTGGCTCCTTCTCAGCCAAACTTTTTACTCTGCAGCATCTTTCACTTGTGCCTGCATTTCTTCAGTACCTCTTTATTTCTGACTTCTCATGCATTGCCCAGAAACTTGCCTATTTCCAGAGTGTCAGCTGAAGGCTTTCTTCATGGCCTATGTTTCATACATTTAATGTATGAAGAATACTTCTTCATACATTAAATATTTCAGACTGACCAGATCTGGCAGCACTGGCACTGTCAGTTCTTTGCTGCTGTTGTTTCTAAAGGGAGGGAACAGGTTTTTCAGATGTGCTGTGGTGAAGGAGTCCTTCCCTATGTCTCAGCAGGCAAGGAAGAGATAATCAAAATTTACCTGGCAGTGACCTACATTCAGAAGATGCTATTAATAGTGAGAATTCATCTATTTGAAGATAGCCCAGTAAGTTGGGCTGTGTGAAAATGATTATCAAAATTACAGAAGACAAATACCTTGTGAAGAAGGGAGGAAGAGGGTACACTGCCTTAGAACAGAATTAAGAAGCTGCAAAAATGAGAAAACCCCGTTCTTTGGGGACATAGGTCTTTAACAGTTTAAGAGAACGGTAAGAACTTTTAAGATGTCGTCTGCCCCTTGAAGCTTCACGACAGTGTCTGTCAGTTTGGACTGAAATTTCTAGCTCAATATTTAATCTCTAACCGATGGTTGAAGCTTGTAACTTATCAGAGTATCTTCCCTGTTCTTTTAGAGCTAGGTTTCATGAACTAGAGATGGCATATATGCTGAGTGGCCCTTAGCATTTTGCTTTTCTGTGAACGTGTCTGAAAAACATTACTTCCATGCTACACATGGATAAATTTTGGTTCTCAAATCCAAATACCAAATTCATTTCATTTTCATTCCAGTTGACAGAACTGGCAGTGCAGGAACCTTGTCTATGTGAGAAAAAGTGATAATCTCTTTCAAGATCTCAGCTGTGCATTTATCCATCATATAACTTCAGTGGCCTTTTTGCAGCGTTGGTGTCTGGAACTTCCCTTTACACAGCTTTGCAGGCTTTTTTCTAATACTTTTCAGCAATTGTTTTTTTTTAAATGAATTTTCACAGTCTCTGCTACTTCACTTTCACAATCATTACTACTTTTTAAAAGTAGTATATTTTAAAAATATGTCAAGCAGGTGCTATTAAGTGTAATTAAAATAATTGTAAAGTTTAAAAAAAAGTTACCAGTTTTAAACCTGCTGAATAATCCTGTTGCAGAACCTGTCTTCACAGAACATGTGGCCCTAACAGTGGCTCATGCCCTTTCCTATAGTCTATTAGTTTTATATCAAGTAGTTGATTACTTGGTCATAGTCCTTGTTAGAAAACATTCTATAGTAAAATCAAAGAAGGAGATTTAAAATTTAAATAAATAGATAAAAAAGACTTTTACCTTTCTTGATTTCATGCTTAATTTTTACAACACTGAGGAGTTACAGCTATTTGCATTTCATAGTTTTATTTTTGGGATGTGTCTTGTCTAGTCTAAGCAGACAGACACTGAGCCAGAGACTAAAATAATAAAGGTTGAACTACAAGCAAGTTAGCAGTCCTAATGCAGCCTTCTGCTAGAGGTGTCAGCAAAGGTAAATATGGCAAATGAATGAAATAAGAAGAGGGAAAGCTCAAATAATAGCATGAGTAGGTGTGATTAGCGATTATTAAAATTAAAAACCCCTCCCCCCAAAAAAACAAAATCACACACACATAAAAAAAAACAAACACCAAAAAACCAACCAACCAAAAAAAAAGAAATCGGATTTGCAAAACATGCAAGCAAGCAAACAAAAAAGGCTTGTCAGTTTCAACTTGGGGGTAATAAACTGTAATATTTTCTTTGGTCATACTCAGTCTCAGAAAGTATGTGCTATGTTGTTGTCTCCTGAATATTTCTCTGTTGGTTTTTTAGGTTTCTGTTGTCTACTTTGTACATCAGTGGGATCACTCTACTGGAACAAGATAATGTCATTTTCAACCCACTGAAGGAAAGGGGTGAGCTTTCTCACATCCGATATTTTATCTCCTTTAAAAAAGCAGCATGCCCTGGAAGCAAATATCATTATGTATTTTGATGAAAAGTGAAGATGGTTCTAGATACCTTTAATGTGTCAAACAGACTTGCTGTTTTGATTTTTATTTCTTTTTAACTTTGTATGTGAATATAAGATTGTGTATTATAGAGCAATGAATGAACAAATAGCTGAATCTGCCAGTCGTTAATTTCTTTGTGAAGGACTTCAAAGGAACATGTATAGGGGAAAGTTAGAGGGAAGGATTACTTGTTAACAAGTCTGGTAGGTAGTTTCTTCACAACCCTAAGACAGTTAGTAGTTAGTTTATACCCTGAGGCATAACTATTTATATCTCTTACAAACATCTGTTGTAGCTTGTATATGTTAAAAATGATATTACTGAAATCCAACAGCTTGGTTTTACCTTATGTTAATGTTACTGGGTGGTCCCTTCGCTCTTAATTATGAAGGAGTAAGTAGAGCAAGTGAGGAGTGATGTATGTTAAAGTTATCACTTTGTGTACATGTTTCTTCTCACCTTTAATCTCTTCTTTTTGATATTCCTTAACTTGCACAGTCTCCACATTTCTAATTATGATTATTCCTCTTAATTTAGCTTCCTTTCTACTCTGCATTTTACCTTCATACTTATTAAAGGCTTGATTTTTTTTTTTTTTTTTCATTTCTCTTTGTTTTCCAGAACACAATGCTTTTATGAATTCCCTTTTGCCACAGATCTCAGTGGAGTTTCTGATTGCAGTTTGTGCATCAGCTTCCAGTTTACATGACCTTAAACATTTCCTTGGGTTTTCCTCACACTTTGTTTTCAAAATAAATAGAATCAGAGTTAATTCTGTTCTGCATGAAGCAGGCTGGCTCACTTTCTCACCCTTGGGTTATTTTTGTTATTTGTAACTCTTTGACTGTAACACAAATGCACAGTTTTCCTTCTACTCTCGTTTACTCTTGATTTCTTTAACAAAAAAATAGTTGGCGTTTTGAAAGCTAAGTTGTTCAGAAGTCGTGTTCTTAGGCTCGCTTCAGATACCGTAGGCTATATAGTATTGGGTATAGCTGTGCTGGTTAAAGATGGTCCTGCTGTGAGTTGATAATTGCCACACATGAGCAGAAATTACCACACTAATAGGTCAGCCAAGAGCAGGGGTGGCATGAGTCCACAGCAGTGTGCTTCAGACAAAGTCAGCTGGTTTACATCACAGCCACCTTTAACAGCGGGTTGAGCTAGCCTAGCTGACTTTGTGTAAAACGGATCAGAAACGATTCACATGTTCTGTGTGCGCAGTGGTAGAGCTGTGGAAGTAATTAGCTCTGCCAGGGTGGCACTGATAAAACATCTGGGTGCGATACCATTTTCATCTAGCATCATTGCTTGCAGAATGAACATCTGCTTGGGCTGTGTATCTGTTAACTAGAACTGGGTGCTGTAGCCTAAATTAGGTTATAAAAGCCAAATGTGTAAATACCTTTTCAGTTATTTTTCTTACAGTTTAATGTAGTTTGTTTCTTACCAGTACTGGGTAATGAGGAGATGTTCCTCTTTACCGAACCAAAGTAATTCCTCAGTTAATTGCCTCAATATAAGTATGTGATTAGCTCAATTTGTTCTTCTTGATTTGCAGTAGTTGTCTTCGCTAAATCCCATCAGTTGTTATTTTGCCTAATAGCTTAATCTTCCACTGTAATTATAAGTCAGAGGTTAAGCTTTTACAGGAAATGAAGGATATACCCATGTAGAATTTTCAGCTGTTCTACTGGGTGACAATAGGACAAAAGTCCTTCTTGATGAAATAATCTATGGATCTAGCTTTTTCTTTCTTTGTGTGGCCTGAGGGATATCCAGACGTGGAATGTCTTTTTCTTATGGAAATCTGGAAGGAAGGGTTGATCCAGCTTGTCAGATTCTCCAGCTATTCTTGCAATGTCCTATTGTCTTCACCAGCTTGTGTGTGTTATCTTTGTTGCTTCCCTCTTTGTTGCTTTTTGTGTCACTAATATGATTTCACATCCTTGCTAACTCTTAAGACATTCTTTCTCTTCCAGGACTGTTTTACCTCATATTTCCTCACTTGTGACTAAGATCTTCATCTTTCTCCCACAGCCAAAAAGTTTCTTTGCCCATATTGTGTAAGGAACTTCTTCAGCTTCTAAATGAATTATTAAATAGTGTTTACTCTTCTTTTACTGATCTGTTCTACTTTTAATTTGAGGGTAGTCTGGTCTGTTCTTTGGATATCACAGTCAGAAATTAAATGTGTGCCTTTTGAGAAGGAAGACAAGCAGCATTTTGTATGTGACCATTCATTCTGTTTGTATAGAAAGATGCTAATGCCCCAGTTGCAAGCTACCATTTTTTAAAGAAAATAAATGGTTAAACGTAAAACAAATGCTTACAGGACTGACGTTTCAGAATGTACCCCTCTGAAAGTATTTTGAAAGATAAATCAGCATTTGCCACAGGAAAATGAGATAACTTTAACATTAATGATTCATAACTACATATAAAAAAAATCTGAAGTGCTTCTGTCAGTGAGTGGATGTATGTCATTCCTTTTTTGTGAAGAAATCATGTTTTTGGAGTTTCAAAGAAAGAACTACTGATGTTCTGTAAAGACAAATTAGAACCAGAAAATACTTTCAATAAAGCGATTAGGAGAACTCTGAACACAGTCTTTACTCTTTTACTCTGTAAATCGTATTCCTAAGAAAAATATACTTTAGCATAAGAGTCCCCAAACTGTAGCTACTTAAGATGGTATGTGCATGTTGTCTACAGATAGCATCTTGTTCAGCTCTGCAAGCGCATGACCCAGTACCAGAACCAGGATCTGTTGTCTGTTCATATTTGTGGTTCTGAAGATGCCTTTGCATGTGTAAAAAGGCAGTCTCCCAAAGAGTGTCAGCTCCATTTAAGCATGAGTGAGTGAAAGTCAGTAACCTACTTTTTAGAGGAGGTCATGTTTATGTCATTCTTGTGGATTTCTCTGGTGTTCAAAGCTAATTAAAAAATCAAAAATCTATGAATGAACAAATAAATAACCATTAGGAATTGCACTATGGGTAGAACTTGATGCACAGTAAGGCTTGAGGCTTGTCGCAAGAAGTTAGGTTTGTCTCTGTGCTTGAAACTGTTAAAGAAGAGGATCCTGAAATTTCTTCTGTTTCCTAAATGAAACATTTACTTGAGACTATTATCTGTGTGGGAAAACATCCAGAAATGTAAACATTGCTATTCAGAATGGTCACATACTTTAGTAGTATGCAATAGTGAACGAAAGGTTTAAAAACAGTTTTAAAAAAATGTAATGTTTGAACACGTTACAAAGAAAAAAGGTTTTGTTTCAGATCTGAAACTGCTGAGAATACTGAAACTTAGTTCTTCGATACTGGTATAAGTGGAAGAGAGCAGAAAACCTGGAATTAATACCAGGATATAATCTTTTTCGAACTATGAGCTCTAGTCTTCTTTTTTAATATGAGTATTTTTAATAGTAGCTAAACATTAGGACTCCTACATGTCAAGGTAAATTGAGTTCTGTGGTAATACTTAATGGTAAAAGCCTAATGAATGATGTGATTTCAGTTGTAGTGGCTGCTAATCTGACAAGAAAATGAAATGTATATTAGTAATATGATGAATAAACTCTTATCAATGTGCTATGCTTTTTTTTTTATTACTTAATGTCTAACTTGGAAAAGTGTTTTAACCCATTTGAGCACCAAACTCTAGCTAATGCTTGGAGTTTCTTACTTGTGCTACAAATCCTATTAAAAATAATATTTCCCGAAGTATCAAATGTCTATGAAAATGAGACTTCTGAATTCCTAGGTCACTTTTGAAACTATAATCACATAGGCCTAAGTGTTTAAAAGTTGTTAGATACTGTTCTATTCTTTGTTGAGCCTTAAATGGCTGGTGTCAGAAGTAAGTTGAGACTTTGGTTTCTAAAAGTAATTTCAGGCCTTAATTTTAGAATAGGATCCCTATAAGCAAATAGGGTATTCCTAAATACTTTTTATATTTGGTTCATCGTTTGTAGTCTATTATTGTTTCAGTTACAGTAATGGCTCAATGTTTTGTTAGCCTTCTCAAAACACAGAAATGTAAATCTTTTCTCTGTCCTAGATTTTTATATTACTTTAGAATAACTTAGATAAGTAGCGCAAAAATATATGCTAAAGTTTATTTGAAGTTTGTAAAAGAACCACAGCCACTATTAAAAATCTTATGTTAAAATATAAAATTATAAAAGGATCTTTTTGCTGATGAAATGTTGAAGCATTTTCCAACTTGATCATTGTCCTCCCTCCCCGACACTGAAAAATACACACCTAACTATCATTGTCAGATCCGCAGATTTTTTGGGGGAAGTGTGCATAAACCTTTATATTTTCATCTTTTATAACTGGATTCTAAGTTGTCAGTTTTATAACTGACCTTTTTTTTTTTTAAGGATATTTGTTCATACTTATGATGATTTGACATAATTAACGTATTATTAACCATGATGGCAACACAGACATTAAGTATAGACAACTATCAAGATGGACAACAGGTAGGTGTGGTTTTCTTTCTCTATGAACTAAATACAGTTAGCAAGAAAAAATAAGGTAGTGACTTTTTCCTTAATGCCTGCTTTGGCATTCTTTTTAAGTATCTCGTTTGCAGAGCAAGATCTTTAAAGTGATAAGCAGTTATTTAGATACTTATTAACGGCTTTGCTAATCTTTGCATGACTTCGATTAACTTGTGAAAGAATGGTTAGATAAGAGGTTTTCTTCTGAATCTGCTCTAGATCACTTGTGTGCTGTAATGTTCCTGTTTTTAGAAAAGTCAAATGGGCATCCATAGTACTTTGTAGATGATATTTCAGTGTTATTATGTGTCTGCAGTTACAGTGGATGACACTGATGCAGTCATAGACTTGTTGGCCTTGAGCAAGTGAAGGATAAATTTAGTTACCTAGGATTATATGCTACTTAGACTACACTTAAATTGATGCAATTACGCTTCAGGCTGAAAACTGGAAAAATACTTGAATTAATATTAATGGAGTCATTGATAAAATAGCTAATTAGGAAGCTGGTCAGTGGGCTTCCAGTTTCTTACTTATAGTAACAAATAGCTAGAATAATGAAACATACTCTGATATGTCTGGCAGTGTTGTTTCTTCATTGTACAACAGGCTGTATATTGCAACTATTTGAATTGCTACATTAAAATACTGTTAACGGGAGACAAGTAATGCAGTGGCCTGTACTCTGAAGACCCTTTTTTATGTTACTTTATGTCAGCCCTAAGCAGTAAATACAAGTACTTCTGTCAGCAGATGGAAATAGTGGTGAACAGTCAGAATTAAGAAAAAAAAAAAGAGGCAACTTTTCCCATGTCTTATAAAAATGTGTTTACCTGAATGCGATCTGGGATTATTGATTTTTGTTGTTGTTTGCTGCTTTTATTGCAGTTCGAATTTCTCTTCTCTCACCTACTTTACATCTTTTACTTTATTTCCCCTTGCCATCCTGTGACAACAAATCAGTGAAAGTAATACATCTTCTTGTAAGAAATGGATTAGCAGAGAGAATTTTATTTCTATTTGTTTTGTATTTTAAGTTCTGGGTGACCTGGGCAAGTAGTTTGGGTGCCTGCTGCTTTTGTATTTTGGAAATGCCCCACAGAAAATAGCTTGAAGTTTTAAGTGAACTATTTCCCCCTAGTGAGATGGAGCCCTAGCTGAACATGCTCTCTTCCTTCAAACTTGTAGATGTATGGCTCAACATTTACAATCACTTGTATGAGTCATCCTCTTTATTTTACTCCTCCTTTGTGTCATTAGCCAAGAAATTATTCCATTATTTGCATCTTTTTTGCAAGCATTCTGGTTTAAAAGTTATCTATGATTGGTGAGGAACAGCTTTGCAAGGCAGGCTGCTCTGTTGGGTAGGATATGCTGGCATTTTCTCACTTTCTGATAGTGCTAGGAGATGGCTTGACATCACCTTTTGGTCCTCAATTCTGTCAGATTCTCTAGTAGTTTCTGGAGGCCAGCCCTCCTCTTGGAGGGTTTCTGTGTGTGATGTGATGTGTACATTTCATGGGAAAAAAAGGCAGAGGATTGCATTCTGTACATTTCCTTTCTGCAGATGTCAGTGCTGTCTCTCTGGTGGTATCTGTAACACTGTCTGTCTCTACTTGAGACAGAACGTGCTAGGGTTAAAGTAATAAAAAAGAAGATTGCAGGAAGTTCTTTGTACAGGTGTTCCCAGGGCTCCAATAGGAGCCTGGGTTGGGGGCAGAAACAATGATTTTCACAGGTCAGGTTCCTTTAAGACCTTTTAGTCCAAAAGACACTTAAGGCAATTTAAAAACCACACATTTAAAGCACCTCAAAGGCATTACCAGCCATTTACTGCAATTTTGGAGCTACTCTGTAGAAGCTGTGGCTCTACGTTGTTTTTCCAATAGTGAGAGATTGTGTAACTTGTTAAATGGATTTATAGAAGCAGTTACTGCTATCTTCTCCAGTAGCTTGATATTCCTAAAATAATTGTTAATTACAGTATGTAAATTTGAGTAAAGGTCAGGGGAGGTTATGCTTCTGAAGATTGGAGACACAGAATACACAGACTATTTCAGTTCTTTGGAAGAAAATACGCATTTTAATGGACAAGAGACACTTCAAAATCTCATTTCTTCACTATCCTGATACAATGTACAGTAAGTAATAAGAAGGAAAGCCGAAGAGTAGAAACTTGCCTTTCTGTTGCTTGCATCCTAAAGGATTTTTATGCAGACATCCCCATGATTTTTTTGGAACAATGTACTGTATGTAACCTGTATTCCAAAGGTAGCCATTTTGGAGACAACATGCTTTAACAGTTTACTGATATCTGTCATTCGCATTTTAAAGCTGAGTGCTGAAACTTGAAGTGACCTTTAAACTACCCATCAAAAAGTGTCAAGGATTAAAAGAGGGGTTTTGTTACTGCTGCAGCTTTTTGTGCAGCTGCCAAGTCATACCAACCTTCTGGCAATTTAGTAGCCCTTTGCATTGCTATTTTGCTAGAAAACAGTACACTTATTTTACGTCAAGCATGCAGGCTTACTTATAAATTACTCTTTTTCTACAGATGCAAGTAGTAACAGAATTAAAAACTGAACAAGATACTGATGCAGAAGGGGTGAGTCCTGCCCCGGTAGAATCTCAGACTCCAATGGATGCAGACAAGCAGGCCATTTACAGGTAGTAATGGACTCGTGTTCTGTCTTTTGAAGGGTAATAGAAGATTTTTTTTTTACTTTTTTAATAAATAGTTTAAAACTAGGTGCCTAGCTGTCTCAGTAGTTTGCAGGGAAAGAATGAGATCAAATTAGCTTCACTGTGAGTCTTCAGCCAAGAAAAAATCTTCCCTTTATTGTGGGATTGTTCAATTTCAGCATAGTTTTAAAGGGTATTCTAAGGGTGGCTGCCGTTAAAGCACAAGTGAAATTGATCAAGCAACTCAGACTTTTGAACTATAGTCACTATTTGGTATGCTGCAGTTTTTAATCTTTAATGTGAGATTTTATTTTTGTTGTAATTAGGTCAGTCTTTACCCTCTTTAGGGATAATAATCTATTGCCCAGTAATTAGCTCAAACTGGATTAAATGTTGATGTATAAATACACTAATTTGAGATTTTCCCATGTTAAATGCTGTGTTAAACGGTATGCCTAGTTTTGATGAGGTTGTGTTCTCTCACTTTAAGTGCTTTATAAAGGCATTAGTATTACCAGTTTGCATGTAAAAAAAAAAAAATCCTAGCAAAAAACCTGAAGCAGAAGGGTGTATCCACTCATTTTCAGACTTGTGCTAACAAAATCATCTTCTACTCTGAGCATGTTTTCATAGGAGGCCTCTGAGTACAGTACTAAGAACAGTATCTATGCTATAAAGTTATTTGTGATGTTTAAGTATGAGCCACATTTCAGAATGAATGATTTTTATCAGAGTTTTAAATCTACATTAATTCTATTTTAAATCCTAATTCCTAATCTACTATATTAATGTGTTTCTTGCCACTCAGTTACAGTGAACAAAATATTATGTCCTAATCTTCTTGGCTTGCGATTGTTCTCTTTATTTAAGTATACCTGGTTTACTGCTTTATTTGCCTCTAGGCTGTGTGGTTAAACCAAAATAAAAACAAAAACCCAAACCCAAGCTTCCATCATGTTTTTCTGTAGCTAGTGGTATTATTTGCATTCACTTCCAAGGCTTGTCTGTTTCTTACATAAATGACTATACATTACATGAGGTAGATCTTTCTTTTCAGTGGTGTACACAAAAGTGAAAGTACTTATTCATGTATTTTAATTTTTATTCTAGGCACCCACTATTTCCCCTGTTAGCACTATTATTTGAAAAATGTGAACAATCTACACAAGGCTCAGAAGGCACAACTTCTGCTAGTTTTGATGTAGATATTGAAAATTTTGTAAGGAAGCAGGAGAAAGAAGGAAAACCTTTTTTCTGTGAAGATCCGGAAACTGATAATTTGGTAAGTGTAAACTGTTTATTTCTGAAACAATGATCACATTTGCCTCTTCTTCCTAACATCTGGTCTCAACTGATACTTATTGTTTCTCCTCAATTTTTTTTTTCCTATAGGAGATTCTTCTTTCTGCTAATGCTGAGAAACATTTATTTTGTTTTTTTTTTTAGGTTGTTCTGACCTTTTTTTTTCCCCCTTTATCCATAAACTTACACTGGGCCCTTCACAGTAGCTTCCCATTCTAAACTGGTTGAGGTCAGTGTATTAGAGACAAAAAGAAACACATGCTTGCTGTAGCCAGGTTGACTCTACAAATCAGTTTTAAGAGTGTCAGGTATATAGACAAACTGATAAAACATGGACTAGATAAATGAGCAGTGAGATGGACTGAAAACTGGGTGAACTGCTGGGCTCAAAGGATTGTGGTCAGCAGCGTGAAGAGTAGTTTGAAGGCTAGTCATAAGTAGTGTACTTCAGGGGCCGATACGGAGCCAATACTGTTTAACATCTTCATTAATGACTTGGATGATAGGACAGAGTGTATCTTTGGCAACTTTACATATGTTGCAAAACTTGGCAGAGTGATGACTATGCCATCATTCAGAGGTACCGTCGTGGTTTAAGCCCAGCCGGTAACCCAGAACCATGCAGCCACTCTCTCGCTCCCCCACTTCTTCCCCCCGCTCCCAGAAGGATGGAGAGGAGAATTGGAAAGAATGTAACTCCCATGGGTTGAGATAAGAACAGTCCGGTAACTAAGGTATAACACAAACTACTACTGCTATCACCAATAATAATAATGATAAGGGAAATAACAAGGGGAGAGAATACAACCGCTCACCACCCGCTGACTGATACCCAGCCCCTACCTGAGCAGTGATCTGGGCCTTCTGGGTAGGTCCCCCCAGTTTATATACTGGGCATGACGTGCTGTGGTATGTAATAGCTCTTTGGTTAGTTTGGTTCAGGTGTCCTGTCTCTGCTTCCTCTCAACTTCCCCTTCTCCCTGGCAGATCATGAGACTGAGAAAGTCCTTGGTCAGAGTAAACATTACTTAGCAACAACTAAAAACATCGGTGTTATCAGCGTTGTTCCCAGGCTGAAAGTCAAAAACACAGCACTGCACCAGCTACTAAAAAGGAGAAAAATGACTGCTACGGCTGAGCCCAGGACAGGTACTTTGTTTCTTTTGGAGAAATGGACAAACAGGAATCTTACGGAGTTCAACAAAGAGAAATATCAAGTCTTGTACTAGACAGGAGTAACCCCATGCACTAGTACACTTTGGGGGCCATCCAGCTGGAAAGCAGTTTCACAGAAAGGACCTCACAGTCTTGGGGGACGCCAAGCCAAATATGAGACAGCAGTACATCCTTCTGGCAATGAAATTCAGAATACTTGGGCTGTGTCAGAAAGAGTTGTCAGCAGGTCAAGAACCATGATCCTTTCTGTCTGCTTTGCACTAGTGGAGTGCTGGGCTCCCCACTACTGTATACACGATACACATACTGGAATGAGTCCAGCAAAGGACAAAAAGACAATTAGGGGACTAGAGCATCTTCCATGAAGGAAGACAGACTCAGCAAGCCAGGACTGTTTAGCCTGCAGTAGCAAGGGTTTGGGGAGATAGCAATGTATCCAAATACATAATGAAGAAATAAAGAAAACAGACTGTGTGACTCTTCTCAGTGGCACCCAGTGAAAGGGCAAGAGGAAATGGGCGTAAATCGAAATACAGGAAGCTTCATTAAAACATAAAAACCACTTTTACTGTAAGGGTGATTGAATACTGGAGCAGGTTGTCCAGAGAGTTTGTGGAATCTCCATCCTTGGAGACAGTCAAAAGACAACTGGATGTGGCCCTGAGCCACATCCTTGACCGTGCTTTAGGTAACGGGGGTGGATTAAACAGTCTCAGAGCTATTTTGTGGTTTCTGTGAGCCTTCAGAGATTGGTTTCCCAGTGCTTCTGGTTGCACACAAGAATTGCCTCAAGTTTGCTTTGGTTGTAGGTGGGTTTGCTTTGGTTGTAGGTGGGTTTGCTTTGGTTGTAGGTGGGTCTGCTGTGTTCAAATAGTCGTTCCAGCCGGTTGACCTGTTTGTGACTTTAGCAGTGACAAAGTCTCTTGGTTTATGTATTATTCACCTTTGGGCTGCATGGACCTGACTGATTTTACTCAAGACGATGAGGAAGTATTTGTTTATGTCTTGTATTCCATGGCTGCTGAGGCCAGTACTATCTTAAACTGGAAACACATTGTAAAATCAAAAATCTTTGGCATTGAACTCCTGTCCTGTAGTCATATTGTTAGCTATGACTTTCTATTACTAGATACCAAATGAAATTTGAGTGCAACTTCTCCTCTGCCTGTCCTGAAAGCTCAGGACTCTGAACAGCTGACGCTCAGACAGGCCGTTCATTTTGTCAGAGGCAATAGGAAGAAGATCAGAAGAGTTTCTGTCAAGTTGTGGAATAGCTAGTATGGTTTTCAGCTTGAAATACTGGTGCTTGTGCAGAGAAGGCTGTAGCTGGGCAGTTTTTTCTGCCATGTGTCACACAAATATATGTATTTTTTTATATATATTTCAAATTTCCTTATAGTAAAGAGGGATTGTAATGTTGTTCACTTTTGTCATGTCTTCTGTTCTTGCTGTTCCTTCTTTTTCATCTCCAATATAAGTCAACCATCCCTTTGAAAGGAGAAGGTAGTACAGACTGCTAATTGGAATGAGCCAGAAGGGTGGAGCAGGTAGGCCTGACAACCAGTTGCTTTCCACCTGTGCTCTAATCTGACCCCAGCAGAGTTAAATAAGGTGTAAATGCTTGCTTCATAGCAGTCATTCAGCTTGGAGCTAAACTAAGGTGAATTGAGCATTATAGTACTATAAAGAGCCAAATTCAAGTCCTGTCCAAAATGAGTTGCAGGCTTGTGTACAATAAGGCAATTGGCCACTAATTCAGTTGTTTTGGGTTTTTTTCCTTGTTTTGGAAATGGCATATAGAATTCAACTACACTGTTCTTGTGATTGATCTTAAACTAATGGCTCAAAAATAGCAGAATATCATTTCAGGCTCCATACTGCCTATAGACTAATTGACTAGACAACACCCTTCACTAGAAATTGTGAAGGGTCACAGCTACTGTCTGTAGGGCCACTTACAGTCCTGGCAATGTTTGACATTGCAACCTCATTTGAAATGCATTGCATATTCCAAAGGAATAGTTTAATTTTCATACAGAGAATGACCTAATGTTAATCTGGATGGCACAGGCATTAGATCAGTTTGACTAGAAAGGACATTCATTAAGAGAAGTGTATGGGTTTTTTTCTAACTTGAGTAGCTCTTAGTAAGCTACAGTCTATATTACCTTGTTACTTTGGTATTATGGTTTCCATTCTAAATTAATTGGTGGTTTCCTGCATTTGTAGTATAAAGGAGTTTGTCATGGGGAAATAGAAGTAGCGTTCACCTGAAACTTAATTTTAAGGATATCCAGGTATTGCTGAGTTTGGCCTGTAGACAAAGTTTCAATCCTTTTTTGTTATCTAGATGGAGGGGTTCCATTCTTTCTAGTTAACCACTCCAACAGTGTCAGTTTGTCACCTTGAAACAGCGTGGCAAAGGGTAATAGTCAACACAGAAATAGCTTTACTAGGCCTTTTACCTTTGTTCTGACTTTGTCAAGCACATTGTCAAAATGGGTGTTTGAAGTGAAATGAAAGAAAGCATTTCTATAAATAATGATGGCTTCTGGATTGGGATAGAACTTTGATATTAGGTTGCTGCATATTTAGAAGACTTAAGAATTTCTCAGAAGAGATTTGAAGAATTTGGAAAAATGTTGAAAAAATGGCACTTTCTTACAGAAGATTTTTTCACCTTAGACAAATTTTAAAGGTACTCTGAAACCACCTGGATGAAGCATATTTTTATTTTATTTATTGCTATGTTCCTATTGTTTATGTACATTTATATAATGGAATTGGCAATGTTTGTGTTCAAAACCTGCAGCACTGAAAACCCCACAAAATTGAGTTACGACATCCCTGAAATGTGACATTTCAGTTACTGTCTCTTCCTTTGTCTGAGAGGTGTATAATACCTCTTTTCCTTCCTAGGAAGAGCATATTGAAGGAAAATGCAAAGTTCAGTTCTAGATCTGTTCAAAGAAAACTGAGAAGCTTCAGTGCTAGCTCCTGGACAGATTTTATCAGCTTGCTCTGAGATGCACGCAGTCTTGACATTCTAGGTATGTCTTTACTCATTTTCTAGTCAGAAGAGGTAGTTGTCTTTGGACTGAAACTCTTCCGGCAGTTTCAGTCCATCCCTAGTAAAAACACAAAGAAAGTGACTTTTCTGTGGTAGTTATATGTTTGCACTTCAAGAATTGATGGTTACAAACAGAACTTTGAAACTTTTCCCTTCCAGCTTCACTGACTTCTAGCCACACAGGTTGGACTGTGCAGGGGGGTAAAAGAGAGAGGTACAAGTTACGCTTTTGTGCAGTAAATATTTAGTGCTTATAGATATGCATGGCATAGCGTGTAATTGGAGCCAGAATTTCCTCTGTTTTGGAATGTCTTCTGTAGGTTTCTTCTGGCTTTCATCAGTTTAGTTCTCTTTTCTGATTCTCGGTCGCTCATGCTGTTTATGTCTCCATTGATCTTCTCTGAACTTGATAGTGCTGATGGGCTGCAAGAAGTGCTGCAGATCTCCCCTTTTCAAATTCTAGTCCCTGTGGGAAGGGAAGTGAAAGCTGAAGGTTTCTACAGAAACCTTCATGTCCTCATGTTGCAGATCTTTAAGGCTTTTTTTTTTACCGGACTGGAAATATACTTTCTTTCCCTGAGCTTTTACTACTTCCATATCTTTTTGGATTGTTACTTTGCATCCAGCTTAGTCCTTATGTCAAGCAGCAGTACCAGAAAAGATACGTTTGCTGATAAGAACCAGATCTTGGTTCTTAATATGCTTCTTTCTGGAAGCATGCTCAGCTGTAGCCC